TTTAAATTTTAAAAAGTTTCTTATAGATAGTTGTGATTTCCTTTCAAAGATCGCTTACCAGAATTTTAAAAAACATCATTTTGAAAGAATCCCATGTCATGGCAAGAAAATACCAAAATTTAATTTGCCTGGAATTAACATTCCTCTTCTGACTGTAGCATTCAACTATGTCTAAGTTATTCTGACCTTAGTTATTCAGTTTATAGGATTATTTGGTCCTCTTTTCCTGCCTTCTTCCCTTTTATTCTCTGCTTTTATTTTTTTTTCTTTATTTTTGCTTACATCTCTATTAGGTAGGGAGCCTGCATGGGGGGGAGGGGAGAGAGTAAGCATACATGCAAATGAAACTTAGGAATTTGGCTTTTGATTCAGTTTCAATAATGTTTGGAGGTTGTCAAAAGTAATATCATAATCTAGTTCTGGGTTCCCATAGCCATCAGAAATAGTTTTTTTCTTTTGGTACTTGACTATACAACTATTTAATTGGCTATCGTTCTTTAAATTGATACTGATATTGAAAAAGACTAGAAATTTAAATAATCTTATTGATCTATTATAGTAGGAACATGTGTAAGCTGGGGAAGGGACAATGGAGAAATAGGGTAACATTCTTTGTTGCCAGGAATCACTGAGTTTTGTACTAATTAGCCTTGAAAAATGTGGAGCTATTTGACAGACCAGATGTTTTCAGCATGAGCCATGTGTCTCATCAGTGAATGTGCCTTGTGTCTGCAGGCAACATTGTTGGATTTTTCTCATTTTATAAACAATGTTCTAAAATATAACTAAACCCCAAAGTGTGTTTATCTTTTGGGCTTAATTTCTGGCTTTCTATCCATTCTAAAGTTTCTCTCTAGAGGAACTGCATTTTATTGCACGTAGCTCTTCGTACCTAATTGTAGTATAAACACCATTCTGTTTACACTAAACCATGCGAATTGTATTGTTTTTGAGCCTGTAAAATTTTAATAAAAGCAACTATTTCAGATTTAACTATATTTATACTTTTATTTCTAAATTTAGGAGGAATAGACTTTTCTTACCTTCATTTATTTGGACTAAGATTTTGATTTTTGGAACACATGAGAGAAAACAAGAAATATAGCAAGTAAAACCAGTCTCTAGTCTTTAGTGTTTGTAGTACTAAGTTCACTGGAGCAAGAAGAGCTTAAGTATCTGCTGTGAAAATCATTCTTAAAATTCCAAAATACAGCGATGATTCTTTTTTATTTATAGGGATGAAACTGAATTTTTCCTATACTACATATGTCATGGGAAATGTGGAAATTAGAGAATTAAAAGTATGAAGAAGAGAATTATCACTCATAATGTTATTATCCAAAGGAAGAAAATCATGGTTAACATTTTTACATATATTTTTATCATCATTTCTCTCTGCACTTTTGTGTGTGTGGATGTGTATTCAGTGATATATATTGCATACCTACCTATTCATAATTTATACATGTGTACATATTTATAATTTTGAAAATCATTATGATTATACTTGTAAGATCTATTTTTTTTCAATTGGTACACTGTTCCTGGAGGTACTGTAATGCCAGGTTGATGTGTGGAGTGGATGAAGCAGGTTCCCATTCTATCTCCCTGCTCCAAAAATCTGTTTCACGTGTTGTCCTCTGATAGGGATGCATCGGAAATGAAACTGATAAGAATAGCTACTATACTTAATCTTAGCCAAAAGGCTGAAAAGTGATAAGATCTATTTTTTTAAATGATTTTCATTCAATAATATTGTAAACATTTTCTATTTTATTAGTATTTTACTATATGAACATACCATAATGTATTTAACCATTTCCTTGTTATTAGACATCTAGGTTAGTCCTTTTTTCCCTAATATAAATAGCTCTACAATTCAAGAGGCTCATACATATTTTTGTACATCTTATTTTTGTTTTGGAAATACAATTGTTTAGAATAGTTATTTTGCTAAAATTCCTCATTGTAAACTTCTGTCATTAATAAAAATTTGTTTGCCAGTAGGCTGTGAATTCCTATTCATTGAAACCCCTGACATAATACATATTATCTTTTAAGAAATCTTTCACAGTTTGAGTGGCAAATTAGGTTTTTGATTTGCTTTTCTTCACATATAAGTTCAACTTCTTTTTTCATATGTTGGCCCTTTTTTTTGTTCTTTTGTGAATTTTCTTTGTTCATTGCTTTTTTAAAAAAGAACTCAAGTTTATTAATCTTTTGTATATTAATACATTACAAATAATCTTTATAAGTTTTTTGTTTCCTCTCAATATTATTCTTGTAATATTCTTTTTATGCATAACTTATTTTGTTTTTACCTAGTCACCTGTATCGATCTTAGTTTTATTTGTCCTCTTATGCTTATAGAAGCTTTACCACCTGTCAGATAATGTCCCTTTTATTATTATGAAATGTTTCTCTGGGTAATTAGCAATATTTGTTATTTTAAAGTCTTTTGTATCTCATATTAATATAGACATTTCAACTCTTTTATGGTTACTTTTTGTCTAGTATATCTTCTTCCATCTTTTAATTTCAACTTCTTTGTATCTTTGAATCTAATGTGTGTTTCTTGTAGATAGTATGTAGTTGGATTATCCTTTTAAAATCCTGTCTTGACGATACGTGCTTTCTAGTTGGTGTGTTTAATTCCTTCACATTTAATATAATTATTGATATGGTTGGATTTTGCTCTTTGTTTTCTATATATTTCATGTCGTTTTTGTTTTTGTTCCTCCTTTACTGGTTTCTTTTCTGTTAATTTTGTAGCATACTGTTTTAATTCTTTTGATTTTTAAATGATAATATGTTTTTGATATTTTTTAGAGGTTGCTCTATGGATTATACTATGCCTCTTAGCTTATTACAATCTACTGTAGTTCACTGCTGATACAGATTTGTTATAATATATACTAGTAGTTTTGATTCAACACAGCTCCAGTTATTTTCTCCTCTTTTGTGCTATTATTGTTATATATATTACTTTTATGTATTTTATAAACCCAACAATACAGTGTTATAATCATTGCTTTTAAATATCTTTTAAAGAAGTTAAGAAAAGAGAAAAAATATGTTCATTCAGTCTTTTATGTTTAGCATATATTTACTATTTCCCATGTTCTTCATTTCTTTCTGTAAATCAAGTTACCATCTGCTGTCATTTCCTTTCAGGCTTTCTTTAGTATTTTTTATAAGGCAGGTCTGCTAGCAGGGAGTTCTTTCAGTCTTTGTGTATCTGGGAAGGTATTGTATTGGTATTTCACTTTCATTTTTGAATAGTCATCAGCCAATGATTGATCAAAGGTTGTGCTCAAACAAACTGGAGCCGGTAAGGTTTTCATTCTTTGCCAATGGATTTGTATGTGGATAAGGAAGTGCATTAAAGGTTCAGGCCCTTTCCAAGTCTGCCTGTGCTTTTACTTTATGCTAGGCACATAGGTGCCTGCCTACAGCCTCCTTGTAAACTAGGGATGTGTGGAGTGCTTAGGTCCTTTTAGGTGTCCCTTGCTTCTGTGCATAGCCTCTCAGGCAGCTAGAGACTTGCAGAGAGTTTATCAAGCTGTTCTATAGGTCTCTTATTTCAGTGACCTCCCTATTAAATTTCTGGTTAGTTCTCCAGTTTGTTGTTTACCCCAACACAGATTGCAACTTTAGGCCACTAGAACTGGAGGTTTTATTTATTTATTTATTTATTTATCTTTACTGAGTTTGTTATTTTTACTAACAGCGCCACTTAATACGGGTTTTTCACCCTCTGCTCCAAATCATGTTAGCTCCTAATGTCAGTGAAGCTGCTGGTTTTCATGACTAGCCATGGCCAATGACCCAAGGCAGAGGAATTGAAGGGGCAGGGTGATAGAAGTAGTCCCAGGCAGGCAGGAATACTATAGAGTCCCACTCTTGGGCAGTTTTCATGAATTAACAGTTCTCCATTTGTTTTTCTTCTTTGGTCAATTTCTAGAGCGCCGAAAATGGTTGTTTTGGATAGTTTTGTCTATTTTATATTTTTTTTTGGGATAGAAGATTTGCCAGGCTCTTCCTCTGCCATAGTTGGAAGTTTAGCTTTGGCTACTTCTTTTTTTTGGGGGTGAGGGGGGCAGGTACTTCATTTTATAGGATTTTTTTTGATATTGAAATGATCATTTTTTATTTTCTTTATTCTTTATGTAATTATTTCATTGGTAGATATTCTAAGTTTTATGTGTATTTTGGATAAAATCTTTTTTGAGCTGGTCATGAGGTATCACACCTGTAATCCTAGCACTTTGGGAGGCCAAGGTGGGAGGATCACTTGAGGCCAGCAGTTCGAGACCAGCCTGAGCACGAGCCCAGCCTGAGTATGAGCAAGACCCCATCTCTACAAAAAAGAAAAAAAGAAAGAAAGAAAAATTAGCCAGGTGTGGTAGTGCACACCTGTAGTCCCAGTTACTTGGGAGGCTGAAGCAGGATTACTTGAGCCCAGGAGTTCGAGGTTGCGGTAAACTATGATGATGCCACTGCATTCTAGCCTCTGGCGACAGAACAAGACCCTGTCTCAGAAAAAAAAAGTCTTTTTTGATTATAATTTCCCAGTCTTTTAAAACATATTAAGTTTTAATAATTTGAGATTTTTTTCATTGATATTTTTACTAAAAATTAATACTGGATTTGTCTTAATATACAGTGAATACCAAATTAGGCTAGACATTTTGTCTGAGGAATATGTCTGTGACCCTAAAGAAGACTGAGTTGAGCTAAAGGTGATCAATTCCTTTTGTAGGCATTATCCTGCACTGAAAACTCTGGAACATCTAGAGCATACCTATTTGCCTCAAGTAAGCCACTATCGATTCTGCAAGGTGATGGTGGACAACATCCCCAAGCTTCGAGAGGAAATAAAAGATGTTTCTATGTCTGATCTCAAAGACTTTCTAGAGAGCATCCGCAAACATTCAGACAAAATTGGAGAGACTGCCATGAAGCAAGTAGGTCTTGGATTTATGATAGGTTGTCCAATGGCTTTGCAAGTATTCATTTAAACACAGACTTCTCTTTGCTAAGTGTCTTAATTGTTTCTTATTATTTTAGGGAAATCCTTCATCTTTGTGGAAATACAGGATTAAAAATGTTTTTTATTTTTTTAACAGAGCAGTTGACGATTGTTTTGCTTTATGGATGTTCAGTAAATACTGACTGATTATATGTTGGGGATTTGAAGAAATTTTTCTCTTATTTGAATACTTTCCATGACTTTGGATATAATTTGAAGCTCAAAATGTTTTACAGTTCTCTTTCTAGTTAATGACTTAAATTGTGTTGCAAATGCCTTTGGCTAATTGTTTACTATGTAAGCAAGATGTCGTGTTATATATGAATATTTATGATTTTAACAGGTATCAATGAAAAAAGGCCTATTGGGAAATGCTGTGAATTATGATCACAGAAAGGGATTTATTTACAGCTTATAAATTAACAAATGTGTTAGAAATATTTAGATTTCTAAAAATATCTTCATCTCTAAATCACCAATGCCATGAGGAACATCTGAATTTCTTTTGTCTTTGTGAACGAAAGAGCAATAATGATTTGCAATAACACTTGCTCATTTGAAATTTATCACATTGATTTTATTAAAATTTCTCAGCATACCTGATGATGTAGCCTACAATAATAAATAGAAAAAATTCAGTTGTATGGAAAGAGTTTTTTGGTTCTATAAATAACAATGTTCTTGAGTAGATCATTTGTAGTTTTTATCATTCTATCGGAAATGAGGGAATAGATTAGATTTTGAATTGTATTTTAGGTCTCAACTACCCTTGGTAATCTATTTAGATGTCTTTTTGATCTATAATGTCTATTTGATCTAGCAAAAGAGATTTGCCAATTACCCTTTCCTAGGGGAATACAGATCTTCCTCCTCTAATTTCTTCTTTTGAATTTGGTCAATGTTATACTTTACAAAGTGCAGAGTTTAAAACTAGTTGAGATCTCTATAGTGCTGCTGCTGCCACCTGAGTAGCACTGCAGCAGCTACCACAGTAGGACATGGGCAGAGGGAGAGCTCCAGCCATTGTGACTCCCCAGCAGGGCGCTGACATCACCCCACCCCACCAGCTGTGGGTGGCCCAGCCGCTGTGGCCTGAGGAGACAACCTGCCACTGGCTGCAGTCCCATAACCCACCCAGGCACTGTCCAGACACCTTCCAAGGTCCCCTGCCCCCCACAGGCGCCTGCCAAGTTCCCACAGCCCACCTCACTGCCTGGTGCGGTCCTGTGATGTACCCAAGCACCCACCAAGTTTCTGTGACCTGACTCACTGCTAGCTGTGGTCCTGTGATGTGGTGCAGGCACCTGCCAAGGTCCTATAATCCCCCCAGGTGCTGGCCAAGGTCCCATGACCTGCCCAGGCACCTGCCAAAATCCCATGACCCACCCAGGCACTGGCCAAGATCCTGTGATGTGCCTAGGCACCCACTGAGGTCCTGTAACCTAGCCCATGACCTGCCCAGGTGCCAGCCCAGATCGTGCCATCCATCTCGTGGAGAGGGACTTGCCCAGCCCCCTGCCAAAACTTTCAACTGCGGCCTGGGGAGCAACCCGGGAATCCAAATTAATACTCCCCAGCACTAGCTTTGACTATGACAACTACAGGGGAACAGTACTATGCAGGAGAACAGCTGCATTACAGGCTCTTGGTGCATCTGCCCTTCTCCTGCTGGGTCAATCCTCTGGGGGTAGAACACAAAGTGCTACCTGGGGATTTCTCCTCCTTCTCACTAAGTAGGAGAGTTCCTAGCAAAGGTGCTCTGCAAACCTATCAGCCTTAAGCTGAGAGAAGAGGTATCAGATAAGAAGAATCCAGGAAAAGAATTCTGGCAACATTAAAAAACAAGCTAGTTTAATACCCCCAAAGGATCACAGTAGATCCATAGCAACGGACCCCAATCAAAAGGAAATTGTAGAAATGTCAGAAATGGAATTCAGAATATGGATGGCAAAGAAGATGAATGGAATTGAAGAGAAAGTTGAAAACCAAAACAATGAAACCAAAATATATCTCAGAAAATGAATGAAAAATATGAAAAACTCACAAAAGAGATAGACAACATAAGAAAGTATATAACAGAATTTAAAGAAATGAGTCATTTAGGGAATTAGAAAATACAACAGAAAACTTCAACAACAGACTAGACCAAGCAGAAGAGGTTGAAGATAAGGCTTTTCAACTAACCCAGTCAGTCAAAAGACAGAGGAAAAAGAACAAAGAAGAATGTATAGTCACACAGAGAAATATGGAACTATATGAAACCAGCCAATATATGAATTATAAGTATCCCAGAGGGAGGAGAAGAAAAAGCAAAAAGCATGGAAAACCAATTTGAGGGAATTATTGAGGAAAACTTACCTGGTATCACCAGAAATTCAGATATCCAGATACAAAATTGTCATCGAACACCAGGAAGATTCATAGAAAATAGGACATCTCCAAGACATGTAATCATCAACCTGGCCAAAGTCAAAATGAAGAAGAAAATTGTACAAGCTACAAGAGAAAAGCAACAACTAACCTACAAAGGAATACTCATCAGGCTAACAGCAGACTTCTCAGTAGAGACCTTACAAGCCAGAAGGGATTGGGGCTTCCTTTTTAGTCTTCTTAGGTGGAACAACTGCCAGCCAAGAATTTTGTGTAGTGTAGAACTAGGTTTCATAAATTATAGAGAAATGAAGACTTTTCCAGACAAACACTAAAGGAATTTGTTACTACTAGCTCTGCCCTACAGGAAATGCTTAAAAGTGCATTATACATGGAACAACACAATAGATGCCAAACACTGTAAAAACACCCAAAAGTTAAAGGTCACAGCTCTTGTAAAATAATAGCACAAGAAAGAGCAAAACAATTAAGCTGTCACCCAACATGATGAACAGAACAGCATCCCACATATCAATACTAACACTTAACATGGACACTCTGAATGCCCCACTTAAAAGACATAGACTAGCTGAATGGATGAAAAAATGCAACCTAAGTATTTGCTGTCTTCAGGAAACACATTTAACCCACAAAGACACAGAGAGTCAAGGTAAAGGGATGGAAAAAAATATTTAATACAAATGGAAACTAGAAGCGAGCAGATGTAGCCATTCTCATATCAGATAAAATAGACTTTAAATCAACAATGGTTAAAAAAAAGATAAAGATAATCATTATATAATAGTAAAGTGAGTAATTCCACAAGAAGTGACATAATAATCCTAAATATATAGGCACCTAACACAGGAGCTCTCAGATTCCTGAAGCAAATTCTGCAAGATCTAATCATAGAAATAAACAGTAGCATCTTAATAGCTGGGGACTTCACAACACCCCACTGACTGAACTAGACAGATCATCAAAGTAGAAGTGAATAAAGAAACAATGGACTTAAACGAGACTCTAGAACAAATGGACCTAACAGACATTTATTGAACATTCTACCCCCAAACTACTGAATATATAATCGTCTCATCAGCACACGAGACATTTTCTAAGATTGATCATACCTTAGGCCACAAAACAAGTCTTAGCAAATTAAAAAAAATTTGAAATCATACGAAGTATCTTCTTAGACCATAGTGGAGTAAAACTAAAAATCAATTCCAAGAGAAACACTCAATTCTACACAAAATCATGGAAATTAAACAACCTGCTGCTGAATGACCCCTGGGTCAATGATGAATTAAGATCAAAATAAAAATATTCCTTGAACTGAATGACAAAGGGGACACAGCTTTCAAAATCTATGGAATACAGAAAAAGTGGTCCTAAGGGGAATTCATAGCCTTAAAATGCCTTCATCAAAAAGACAGCAAGATCACAAATTAACAACCTAATTAAATATCTCAAGGAACTAGAAAAAGAACAAACCAAACCCAAAGCCAGCAGAAGAAAAGAAATAACAAAGCTCAGAGCAGAACTAAATAAAATGGAAACCAAAAAAGCAATGAAACAAAAGTTTGGTTCTTTGAAAAGATAAACAAAATTGATAGACTACTAGCCAAATTAACCAGAAATAGAAGAGAAAGGACTCAAATAAGCTCAATCAGAAATGAAAAAAGAGAGGCATTACAACTGATACCATGGAAATACAAAATATTATCCATGAATACTACAAAAATCTCTATGGAAACAAACTAGAAAACCTAGAGGAAATGGATAAATTTCTGGAAACACACAACCCCCCAGGCTTGAATCAGGAAGAAATACAAATCCTGAACAGACCAATAATGAGCAGTGAGATTGAAGCACTAAGAAAAAATCTCCCAACAAAAAAAAGCCCTGGACCAGATGGATTCACAGCCAGATTCTATCAGACTTACAAAGAAGAACTGATACCTATCTTACAGAAATTATTCCATAACATGAAGAAAGATGGCTAACTCATTGTATGAAGCCAGTGTCATCTTGACACCAAAGCCAAGAAAGGAAACAACAAAAAAACTACTGACAATATTCCATATGAACATAGATGCAGAAATCCTCAACAAAATACTAGCAAACCAAATTCAAAAACACATCAAAAGGATAATACACCATGATCAAATGGGTTTCATTCCAGGAATGCAAGGATGATTCAACATATGCAAATCAACAAATGCCATTCACCACATAAACAGAAACAAAAACAAAGACCATGTGATTGTCTCAATAAATGTGGAAAAAGCATTCGATAAAATCCAGTACCTTTTCATGATAAAAACCCTTAACAAACTAGGCATAGAAGGAATATACCTCAAAATTATAAAAGACATATATGACAAACCCACAGCCAACATCTTATGGAGTGGGGAAAAGTTGAAAGCATTCACCCAAAGAACTGGGACAAGACAAGGGTGTCCACTGTCACCACTTCTATTCAACGTAGTATTGGAAGTCCTAGCCAGAAGAATGAGGCAAGACAAAGAAATAAAGGGCATCCAGATCAGGAAAGAGGTGGCC